GGAATTTTCAAAACTCAGCCACATGCCTAATCTAGGAGCCCATGATTCTCAGTTTGTTGATAGGCTTACTGCCATTAAAGAAAAAGTTACAATTTTTGACCTTGACATCAAAACTCTTTCTATCCTATTTTTTTCTTACACAATGACCAAAGATTGATTTTTTTTAAAAATAGTGGTTAAAAACTTTTTTTTTTCTGGATATGCTCCTGTTCAGTGGCAATAACTTTCTCCATGCAATGTTTAACTCCAAAGAGCAAAAATTAAGACTTCTGAATATTGCCACTGGTAGAAAGACCTCTTCTCCAGTAAATTCATCTATTCCATCATGCAAACTTGTTTCACTTGAACTTGTTTCACTTGAAAAAAGTTTCCACATTTTTATTTACAGTAGCATTAGGAAAGGATGCCAATTTCAATTCACTGAGAATTTTCCAGAGTGAGAATATGAAATTTGGGTATCTGCAGATGAGAAACAAGCTATGGATTATTAATTTTAAGAATTGAAATGACTCTTCCAAGATAACACAGTCTCTCTTCTAAGGGAATAAGGGCATGACTTTCCATGGAGGGAGTTGAGGTCTCTAAAAGACCACAGTGAGGGTCATTCATTTGTCTCTCCAGGAATGTCTTATTACAGAAGCAAATATGGTCCCTGGGAAAAGCGAAGCTCACTGATGGATCAGGGCTAGTGAAACGTCTCACAGCCCAGGAGCTTGTGATTGTGAAGTGAACACATTAGCACAGGTGGCTGGTTGGGTAGCATGTCGACTCGTGAAGCAGGAATAAGGCAATGGAGCCAAGGCTTGCTGGGTGCAGAGCTGTGGGTTTTACAGTTTCTCCTGGTCTCGCTTCCCAAGGCTGAGCGAGATGCCTTCCACCTGACTCCCCGGCACCTAGGTCTGCATCGATCCCTTCTCTCTGCCTGTGTCTTCTTTGAGCTCAGGAGTTCCTTAGGAGGACTGTCTTGACTCCAGAGGCCTTGCCCCCCATCTAGCGGCTGGCCTCTCCTGGGTGTCAATGCGTGAATGCCCTAGGAGTGACTGAATGAGGGGACCAGAGTCTGATTGGCTTGGGCTGGGAGAGGAGGGGGGTGTGGCCCAGGGAGGTGCTTCAGTTCAGGTAGTTCACCTGAATGCCAAGGGAGGGGAAGAAAGGGCTCTGAGGGCAAGGGCAAACTTTGCAAATGCAGGAATTTTGCCCAGTGTCAGAGTAGGTCTATTGTTTTATTAAAATAAACTTTTTACAGTAAAGTGTTTGAGTAGGGTAAATTTTTTTTTTTTTAAATGTAGCTCATTGTCTACTCTGTGACATTCTTATTCTTGGTCCATGGTCCACATTGGTCCTTCCTGCAACCCCCGCCCCCCGCCCCGTTCCCTACACTGTAGCCAATTGCACTGCCCCTGTTCCTCACATGCACCTTGTGCAGTAATCTGAGGGCTACCAAGAGGGCAGGGACTCTAGGTGACATAGTCCCAGGTTCAGGTCTTGTGTCCCTACCTGCTACCTCTGGTTCCCCAGAGCAAATTACTTTGCTACTCTGAGTTTCATTTGTTTCATCTAACAAGATACCTCTTGGAGCCTTGGTTTTCTTATTTTAATGAAATTTGCTTGTGTGGTCATGATAAAGACTAGATGATGTATGATCTGTAAAGCCCCAGTCCRAATTTGGCAGGTCGGAGGCAGCCAGGAAGCACAGGTGCGTCCCCCATCCTTTCATCCCTCTCGCTTGGCGGGTCAGCCCTTGTCACCATTCTTTACCAATTTATCCTGTATTTCCTGATCTTTTAAGGCCAAGTTCAGAGACTACAAAATCTCTCCATAAAATCTCTCTCCCTTGCCCATCGAAGCCACCTTTCCTTCTCCTGCCATCCATCTACATCTTCTGGACACCTACAGGACTTAACCACTTTTTCTTGGCACCTCAAGGATAGCTGTGTGCTATTTCTCTCCCTGGTCTGAAAGCCCCACGGGAGCTAATCTCCCACCTTTTAGTCTTATTTCCCTAAAGCGCCTACAGAGTAACTTSCACACAGTAGGTGCTTAAAAATAATGATCAAAATATGTGCAGGACAATGCTGTATTTTTGGAAATCATTGCCCAATTCCTCTTTGGATATGGGGTATTCTATATAACACATCTTTGCATTGATTCACTTAGGGAGTTAAAAAAAAAAAAGATTCATCCCAAGTAGCTGACCTCACACAATGTCCAGAATATTCCTGAAAAGTTATACAKAAGCAATCATAATAAAGCCCTGCTCAAGGGTTAGTTACAGCTCTGAAATTGTGAAAATGCCTGGCTGGAGGGCAGTATTTCCCAAAGGCTAGATAGTTTACAGTAATGTCCCCAACTTCTTCCTTTTTATTACACTTTCTTAAATTGCATAGCATGCAAATGACATCTATCAGAGTTATTCTTACTGTTTTTCAAAGAGAGGAGAAGGGCCCTTAAGAATATGAATAAGTCATGCCTGGAAATTGCCAGATTTGAGGTTACTTTTTTTTTTTCCAGTATTGGGGATGGAGCTAGGCAAATGCTAGGCAAATGCTCTACTACCAAGCTACACACTTTTATTTTATGTTGACACAGGATCTTGCTAAGTTGCCTGGGCTAGCCTTTAACGTGGGATCTTCCTGTCTCAGCCTCCTAAGTTGCTGGCATCACAGGTGTGCCCACTGTTCCTGGTTGGCTCCGAGTCTTTTTGAAGGAATTCCAGAATTAGGGTTAACCCAAACTTCGCAGCTGCCCAAGGATATGATTCTAGGTGGTTGAACCCTTTTCTGAAATTTTATTTTCACTGGTACCTGAGAGGGATTGCTATGTGTTAGGAAGACTTTTTAATCTTTCAGAAGTTCCTATTTCAGGAGAAGGATTAACCTTAGCCAGCACTGTCCTTGGTCCCATGAGAAGCTCCTTGTTACAGTTCTCAGATCAAAGAAGTCTGGGAAATCTTGTGTGTTCCTTCTGCCTTAGGATGTGCTATAAGCTGCTGTGTATAGCAGCATATTGAAGCTCCAAGAAATCACGTGGGAAAGAAATCTATTTAACTCAGAAGCTTTCCCACTTATTTAACTAGGAAGTTATTTTTTTTTTTGGGTTGTTGCAAAATAACTGGTAACATCATATGAAGCTTGCATTCATAGAAGAGCATTCTAAAATTCTGCCTTAGCTATATAAGTTGTGACCATAATGGGGATGAATGTTCACCTATGATGGGACCCAGTGGGATATGCACAAGGGGACAGGAAAGTCAAGAAGGATAGTGAATGTTAAAGTCAACCTGTGAGGCCCCAAACACAATCTGACAGTTCTGCTAAGGACCTTGGTTCACATTTCAATTTGATTTGCTTTCCTGCTTCAGAAGCCCAATCGTTATTACGTGCTATCATCAGGTTGGAAGTGCCACATTTGCCTCTTCACGTGATCTTGAACTGTCTAGGGCAAGGAGGARAGAGGAAGGGAGAACTTGGACAGAGACATTTGCTCAGAGGATGTGAAAAAAAGGAAGGAAAGGAACAGAGTAAGGAAGAAAGGGACACTGAGGTGACCAGGAGACAAAGGCATATTGGCAACAGGAGTTGAGGGTGGAGGGCAGTGGGCAAGGTGGTATAAAGAAGTACAGTGAAGATCTGTGATGGGCCAAGTAGAAGTTAGCAAACCCTCCTCCCCAAACCAGGAATAAAATAATAACTGGTCCAGGATCCTTCCTTTAAAGATATTGCAGTGTCCTTTCTGTCCCCTGGTGGTATAGGATGCTTATTCCTGCAGGTAGCGTTCTGCCCTTGGACTTTTCACTATCCAAGGGATTACATTTCCCCCACGAGGTTGAGAGGGCCCAGTTTGAGATCCTAATAGTGGCCTGCTGCTTTGAAAAACATCGCAGAGGTTAATTTAAAGCACGGGATAGTAATGGAGAAGGGACCAGGTGTTGTGCAGAAGCCAGAGTGCGGTGGGGCTGAGAAGTGGCTTCCTCTTACCCAGGGCTGTCAGATGGTTCACTTCTTACATGCAAAGCAACTAGGAGACCTTTGGCAAGCTAAGGCAACTTAGAAATATTGGAAACTGAAAGCAAGATATGCAACACATTTGGGAATTTCTCTCTCATGTTGAAAGATAAAATTAGCTGATTCCCCTACCAGGGTGCCCTTTGATTTATTGTTAGTGTAAAAGTCATGTAAAGACCTCAAATGTTTTCATCACTTATGAATACTACAGGGGAGAAGTCCATAAAACAACTCCTTTTACAAGAATTCAAAAATTTCAAACTGCTGTTCCATGTTGAACTTAATTCAGAAAAAAAAAAAAAAAAAACACAACGATTCTGCTTGGAACAATGCTGTCCTCTGGGGGTACTGCCTGGAATCCATTACCAAATACATTTAAAAATAAATMTCTACTGAGGAACAATGGCTCAAATGATATGCCCAATCTCACAGAGTTGTGTCCCCGTAGAGAAAATTCCACTGGCCGGAATGGTGTCCCTGGCCTCCAAGACTAAAGCTCTTGTCTGAGTCTGAGGACATGAGCCCACAGCCTTCTGCATCAGAATTGAGTTTCAAGCAGGTTTGGGGTGTTGAGTTACTTTGGATCTCTCATTCCTTTGCATAAATCAGAAACCCATCAGAACATAACCCCTCTCTGAAATCARGGGCATATAAGATGAGTGTTTCTAATCAGTGCTGTGAATGTGTGAGTGCTTACTTGTGTTTAAACTGCTGACACCATTTCTCTGTGTTACACAACTGGATGGTTTGGATTGTTCGAATGGAATAACATGATTACCCATGGTATTGCACGTCTCCAATTCCAAATAAATACAATGGCAAAAACTAGACAAAAGTGCAGAACAAATAATAAATCACACAATGTCACTGAAGTCATGCAAAAAGGAAAAAAAAAAAGAAAGATTTAAGAAATGGGCAAGCAACGGACACAATAAATGAAAAGAAAAGAAAAAGGAAAGAAAGAGCCAATGCATACAATTCTAAAATCATTCTTACCTTCTTCAGTCATTGTGTCATAATATTTTAGTTTTCCATATGATCCAAGTTCTACAATATCACAGTAAAAGACACAAAGATAAGGAACGAGCTATAATGCAAGAACTTTGTTTTTACACATTCTTAATTAATCAGATTCAGAGTTATACTGTCAGATTCTGCGATCGTAACTATATGGAGATGTGCAAACATGGGCCATGTGGCAGACAGCTTTCACAGCCCATTTTCAGAAATCACTTAAAATATATTATTCTACAGAGGGTAGGATGTGCCCTGCATTACAGAATATGTTAACATCCAATGAAACAGAATACTTGGCACAGATACTTCACCCCAGGCCAAGTCTAGCTCATGATTTTTATAGAGGTGACACTCCAGGAAAAAAGAAGGTTTGGATGAGGACAATGTCCAGGTCCATAAAAGCTTGTGGACACTGGTATTTCTTGCCCTAGTTCAGCAGCCCCAGGAGTTCATTTCACAGTTTTTCTCCAACAGAAGTGCTTCCTAGAGAATAAGAAAGCTACCTGGGAGAATCCAAAATGAAAAACCAGGTTTTAAACTTTCCTTTAACTTCTTAAACTTCAGGCAGAAAACTCTGTTGTGTGCAAAGCATGCTGGAAAGAGCTGTTCCTGGTGTTGAGTGCTTCTGGGGGGGAGCAAGAGTGAGGCATATTCCCAAAAAACACTGCCCGTTGCACACAGGTGACAGAGCTACAACTCCCAGATCAAGGCGTCATCGCCTGCTGGCCTGCTGTGGTGTGAACAGTAGGGATGGGTGGACCCACAGCCCCTCTTCTGTATGCAGGGCACCACTGGATGAGCCTGTAAGGGAAACCACTGGCAGACAGTTTGTTCYCAGTCAGCTGGGGGTGTGGCTGGTGGGATGGGGGGAGAGGAAAGGAGGGAATGCACCACTTCTTTTTTCTTACTTTGGTTTTAAAATAGAAACTTTATTCTTGCTTGTCTGAAAATCCCAGATTGTTCTAAGCAACACTGTGAGAAGGTTAAATATATTTTTCTTGGTCATGACAACACTCTCCCAATAAACTTCAAGAAATTAATTAGACTCAAGAGATATTCCCGTGATTCTGCAGAACGCTCTATGGCCCATTAACTCGGGCAGCTGTTGGAGATCCACATACGAATCAATTTCTAATCAATGGGTTTGTGTACAAGAGAAAAGATCTAGCTTTAAATGCAACAATAAATATTCTTGGATTATTATATTATACATTTTCTATGTATTCCTTTTCACATGCCTAAAATTTTATCTAAAGCTATTTTGATATACCAGTACCAAATTGTGTCTTGGGGAGAAAAATCACCTCATTTTTATGTTCTGCAAAAATCTGCCTATTTTGACTTTTATCGGAAATACTTTGAGTTCTCCCTCCCAGAACCTTAAAAAAAATGCAGGTTCTTCAATAAGAAAATGAATTTTGTGTAAATAAGAAAATATTTTATGACTTCTGGGAATTGCCTTCAGAGGGATATATATATATATATTTTTTTTTCTGGTATTTTAGAAACAATAGTCTATTATACATTCAACATTGCACAAGTTTGGAATTCTCAAATGATCTAAATACCTTCATAAATATTAAACATATTCATAGTGGCTTCACAGATAATAGATGTGGTTGTGTGTATGTGTGTAATCTTGTAGTAAGTTGATGAATTATATCATCCAACTAATTTTTTGTAGCCTTTCTTTCTTCTCCCAGGTAAAATACTGAAATAAGCAGCTGGCATTCATGATTATTTGCTCAGGAAACAGAACATGGGTGGTTTTGTTTGCAAAGTTGGCTGTAAACCATATTTTGTACGGTGATGAAATTCCATTGCATTTTTATGGATCCATATTTTTGATGCAAACCTCTCTGTATGTGCACACCTGTTTTCATGTATCAGTTCCAAACTGTCACACCTCGATTTGTGGCAGATGATACTATCCTCAATTTCATCTCTTGTGGAACCAGGTATACATCAATAAATACAATCATAATATTTAATTATCACTACATATTTATATTTATAGTCAGAATTGAAACTGTTCCTGTCTGATAAAACGCATACATTCTTGCCACGGTGGCAATATCTAGATTGATAGCTGCTTCCTTAGATGATGACAGAGGAACAGGAACTGGGCACAACATACCACAAATGAGGCTAACAATGGTGGAATGAGAGTAGTGAAAAGCTGCAGAACAACAGTGGTGGGGAGACAACTCAAAGCACAGGAGGCAGGAGTTGAGGGAGCAGTTTCTGCCTGAGAGAAGGGAACGGTGTTTGTAGCTTAGGAAGGAAAAGGCAATAAAGGTTGGAGGAGGAAACCAGCCTGTTGGAAAACAGTCTTTCACACTGGATGGTGAGATGGGGAACAGCAGCCTCATGCGGAACAGGCAGGCAGCCCTATTTCCTGAACCAGGCCTTGAGAGGCGCAGGCTGAGGAGTGTGACATGCGACCAGGACAAACACAACATGCACACATAAGCCAGAGCTCATCACGCACCTGGCTGTTGCCCTACAGCCCAGGATGCCTCATGAAGAGTGGCCAATAGCCACTACTGACAGCCTGTGGCCAGGCCTAGCCAGGCTGAGAGGAGCTGGAAGGAATGAACAGACTCACCTGTGCAGGAACGTGGCTTCCCATCAGCACGCTCYCCATAATGAAAAGCCAAGGCACCTTCAACTTATTTGGATTAGGATTCAAACTGGGCCTGATCCCAGCTGAGTTACTTTAGGGTAGAAGGGAGGAGGTTCAAGAGGGTGTTGCTTAATCCCATCTAGTAACATTCATTGTATCAACGGAGCAAGAGGCAGTGAGGATTGGAAGAGTCGTGTGGCTCACCTGTCCTATCATTCTGGTCCCATCTGATACCTCTTCTCTATAAACATTTCTTTAAGAAGGCCACATGGCCTGAAAAAAAAATCATTACAGAACCCAGTGGCTGATGTTTGAGTTGAGCCTATAATCGGATCATGTACTTGCTTTCAGGCCCTCTGGGGACACAGGTGTCCAAGCTCTTGCATCTTTGGGGTATGAACCTTTACTAATCCACTTTCTTCCARTCTTGCCAGAACCTAACTACCAGGATGTAAGGTACCTGTGACTTCTTGTCTACACTTTACAATTGCCAAAATCAAAGTAAAAGTTTTGCCATCAGTCTTAAAGAATGTGTGATTAAGAATTAGCATATCTGGCTCCTAACTTCCTCCCTTTTTGAGAAGTACACAGACATAGCTCTCCCAACATTGTAGTTCTTAGCTTTACTTTTGAGGCTTCTGGCATTCTTGACCCTTACCCCACCACAAATCCCAGAACGGGGAACAGTAGAAAAATGACTTCTTACATTTGAGAACTTGAAAGTTGATATATAAAATGGAAAGTCAATGGAAGGACCTATGCTAATTCATTTTATCTGAAAGAAATCAATGAGAGCGAGTATTTATTATTTAAGTATTAGATGATGGGAAAAATAAGGATTGCTTAATTTTTTTCAAAGATCTAGTTTCTTTTTGGTCTTGGTCTGACCTGTGTACAAAGACCTAAAAATTAAGGCTTTCTCAACACAGACAGTAGTTTCTTGGTAAAACCCTCTTATACGGTGTGTACAACTACTGGATCACACCAGACTCATGGAGGATTATTTTCACTAGTACATGGAAGTTAGAATATGAAGTCAGGAGTGTAGGTCTGGACCAAGATTTGCCACATATTAGATGTGTGGCTTTGAGCAAATGGCTTCACCTYTCTGAACCTTAGAATATTCAGCTCCAAAGGGACTTGACTGTTTTTACCCTAAGGCAGCTGTGAAGTCTAGATGAGATGAGGATACACACACCTATCGATTGACATGGCAGCTGTCATATTACAAGCATCACAGGAAGTGCAAAGGAGAATCCAGGGGATATGGAGCAGGGCATTTAGGGGGCTTCACATATTGTRCACTCTTTTAAAAACAAATCCAACACTCCTTATAGAGGCTTAAAATAGGAATTGTGGCTCAACAAGGAAAGACATCCCACAATGTCAGGGCTAGTATTTAAAAAAGGTCTTTTCATGAATTCTGCTTGCTACTTTCAGATCTAAGGAACTCAAATATGGACCATCCCTGGGGAGCACATGTGGACCCTCCACTTCTGGAATCATCAGTGTTCCTACGTTTTCTTCTAATGTTTGCATGGGAGCCTGTCTCTCCCACAAGTTGACCCTATGTTGGAGATGGAGACTCTATTCCTCCTTAGATCTGTCCTAGTAGAGCACAGAAAGGTGCTTTTCTCACACCACACACTCTGCTCACATTTCTTAAACAAAGTGTTCAAATGGACAGCTTCAAATGACAGTGCAGCTCAGGAGGCTTTGGTTTGTTGATCTTCCCTGGATTTGCCGAAGTCAAAAAGGGCTGGCACTGATGTGGCTCTTCCTCTGTGGCAGCCACATGCTTGCTGTTTAAACAGAGAGGGGGAGATGTTGAGAGCCACAGCCAAAGGGGCCCAGCAAACTTCCAGCTGCCGGCTGATGATTGGCTCACAGCGTCCCCAGCAACATCTAGCTGATTGGCTCCTCTGCGGTGATGTTCATTGGGCTGTTTCCCTGCCCTTCAGACTTCCAGCTGATGATTGGCTCACAGCGGCCCCAGCAACATCTAGCTGATTGGCTCCTCTGCGGTGATGTTCATTGGGCTGTTTCCCTGCCCTTCAGACTACGGAACTGCTCATTGGGGGACTTCTTTGGCTCCGCCCATGCGACCCAGCCAATCGGCCTCAAGAGCAGGAGGATTGGGGGAGGTGGTGAGGTTGGTGTGGGGAGAGGCTTGTGGAAGCCAGTGGTGGCAGTTGGGCTCTGAGGGTTTTTTCCTGAGGAGCTGTTTTGCTTGGCGTTTGTAGTTCTAAAAATAAAGTTAGTTTCTTTTGACAAGTGGCTCCTGAATTGTGCCCAGCCAGACTGCGGCAGTGGCTACCAGGGCATTACTCTACAACTAGAGTGAGTCTGAGTGACACTGAGCAGACAGCTAATGCAAAGGCTCTACTACTCAGGATCTGGGTGA